GCTATACACCGGTCTCTTGATATTGGCCCTTGAGCTTCAAAGATTGAGCCTCGATGTTGCTGGAATGGCATCTTCATATAGCCTCATACTTTGATGGGAATGGGAGATTTTATTATGAGCGGTATAATACTGAAATGAAATAACCACCCCGATTCGACAAAAAAAGATCCCTAGGTGTACTTACGTTACCAGATTTGAGACTTGGTTTATAAAGTTAAATGGGTACTCAAAGAAAAATCATTATTAAATGAATTAGTTCAAATTTTTCGGGTGTTAATTCATATCATATTATAGCCCATAATAAAATCTAATATTTGGTCAAAGAATGGTGATTGTAAGTAATGCCGTTTTCGAAATATCGAGACCCAAACTTTTAAGGGCAATGGCCAATATCGAGAGAACTGTTTATGTATTTAGAAAAATATTCAATTCATGATTTGTGTAAACAATTTTTATGCATGGAAAATAAGTTTCAGATCTCTAACTATTGTGGTCACAGAAATCGGCCCGTTTAATTCAAAATCGAACTTATGGGTTTTACAGAAAATATAAAACTTTATTTCTCAAAGTAAGTACATTTTCTGATTGAGCATCAAAAATTACATTATTGGAAATGAGTTTCATAAAAAAATCTGGTCAGACAACGGTACAAAGTACGAGCGAAGTTGCAACTTTGACCTCGATTTTCGTGAAAACTGTCGATCTTAGAAGACTTTTGTTAGCACAGATGGACACAGTTTTTGTTTCCCTACAAACTGATTGCGGTTCAATTTGCAAGAAATCAATTTATACCCGTTTTTGGCCATTTCGTTGACAAGTTTGATGCATAAATGTTACAAATGTGTTTATTTTGTCTTCATAGCAACAAATGCATTGATTTATGATTGAGTTTATTGTTTTATAATGAAAAATGAATACTTTTACACAATAATTTGGGTCAATGAGGTTTCTTTAATGATAGCTAACACTGAGGGTTGAAAATCTTGGTCTTATTTAGGGATTAGCATTAGGGAAGATGCCGTTTCTTATGTCGTTTTACAATATAATCAATGCTAAAAATGAAATAACAAGTGACTGTTTGGTTCAATCTCAGACTAGTATCAAATAGAGTTAAGTATTTTAATTTTAATTGATCTAAATTTTGGATGATTATTTCTAATTTTTTTTATTGATTAATTTCCAGTCATTAGTTTATGGCCAAAAACTTTTTCAGTCTATTTTGTTTTGATAAACAACTAACATTGAGCGATACAAAGCACACAATTCTTGGTATTTAATTTATTTTATTGAAAAACACATAATTAAAACTAATTGGTGATTAAACTGGGTTCACAGAGTATGTTAATTTTAATAAATGATTAAATTAAAAATAATAAGTTGTACAAAAATTGAATAAAAAGATTGTTGCAAGAAAAAGATAAATTCATATTTGAGTTTGCCACTGGAGGGCAGCCTTGTTATGATAGGTTTGTTTTTATTTTGCAGTTCAAGCTACACTTTTCCTTGGTGCTCAATTCTAATGGTTTTTAATCATGAGAAGTCGAAGTAATAGCGGTGTCAGACTTGATTATTACCAGAGAATAGTGTTTAGAACAATATTGGACCGTCAAAATCCTGTTACTGGTCTTCTACCTACAACTAATGAATCAGATCATGCCTGGGTTCGAGATAACCTCTACTCTATCCTTGCTGTCTGGGCTCTCAGTATGGCTTACAAGAAAAATACTGATCTGGGTAAGTGCTTTAATAATTTTTGTCATGAGAAATCATTCTGTGCCAGGATTTATCTAGAAGTTTCATTATGACGTGTTGTCTATAAATATGATATTTTAATTGCTTATTCTGTTGTCGCTGCTTTTTTGTATGTTTCAAGATGAGGATCGAGCCAAAACATATGAATTGGAACAGAGCTGCGTAAAAATGATGAGAGGTCTCTTGATGGCTATGGTAAGACAGAAAGAGAAGGTCGAAAAATTCAAAGAGACTCAATCACCACTTGATGCCCTCCATGCTAAATATTCCTCTTCGAATATGTTGACTGTTGTTGGAGATACCGAATGGGGCCATCTTCAGATCGATGCTACTTCACTTTATCTTTTACTCTTAGCTCAAATGACTGCATCAGGATTACAAATCGTATTTAATCTGGATGAAGTCGCTTTTGTTCAAAACTTAGTTTTTTATATTGAATCAGCGTATTGTATTCCAGATTATGGTAGCTGGGAAAGAGGTGATAAGACAAATCACGGTCTTCCAGAACTTAATGCTAGCTCTATCGGGATGGCTAAAGCAGCTTTGGAAGCTATGAATGAATTGGATCTATTTGGTGGTCGAGGAGGCCCTTCCTCTGTTATTCATGTTTTAGCAGATGAGGCACAAAAATGTCAAGCAGTTCTTCAATCGATGTTACCTCGAGAATCAAATTCAAAAGAAGTCGATGCTGCTCTTCTCTCTATTATCGGTTTTCCCGCTTTTGCAATAGAAGACCCCGACCTTATAAAGCTTACTCGCAATGTGATACTTGAAAAACTTAGAGGACGATATGGTTGTAAAAGGTTTCTTCGTGATGGTTATAAAACAGCAAAAGAAGACCCTTCTAGATTATATTACGAACCATGTGAGCTTAAAGTTTTCGAGCATATTGAATGTGAATGGCCATTATTTTTCTGCTACTTAATACTAGACGCTTGTTTCAGGGGTGATAGAGAAATGGTAAGTATTAATTAGTTAACTATTCGATCATGGTAATGATTCCTTTTTTATTCTTCTTTACAGAGCTTAGAATTCTCGGATGCTTTAGACAAAGTTCTAGTCAAAACTGATGATGGACTAAAATTGGTTCCAGAAATGTACACTGTACCTGCTCATCTGGTTGACGCGGAATACAAAACTCCCAAAAGTCAAGATAGGGTACCTATCGGACAGTGTCCTTTCATGTGGGCTCAATCGCTGTACATTTTAGGTCGCCTACTTCAAGAAGGTTTCATTGCCCCAGGAGAAATGGATCCTCTTAATCGCCGTCTCGGAGCTGACAAGAAACCTGATGTTGTTGTGCAGGGTAAATTGCAATATCAGTATTGTGTTTGACTTTGTTTTAATCTTTTCAATTTTCCATTATCAGTTGTTATTCTTGCTGAAGATGCCGTGATGAAAGAGAAGCTCTCTCACCATGATATTAATATCCAAACTGTTTCTGAAGCTTCCCCTATTGAAGTTCAACCCGCTCGTGTTCTCAGTCATCTCTATGCTTACCTTGGACGCAACAAAAAACTCAAACTCTCAGGTCGCCAATCTCGAGATGTCGGGATTTTGAGTACGAGTAAACTGTATAGTCTTCATGACAGGATTTTTGCTTTCATACCTCAGGTAAGATTCAAGTCAGTTACAATTTAACATGATATTCAAAGCTCTTTGTTATCAATGGAAATTCCATTGAAAAAAGGAAATTCCATTGAAAAAAAGGAAATATTTCATAAAAATTTGAATACATATAATTTTACTTCCGTGTAATGGCAGTTTGTAGATGAGCAACGTTATTATATCGCTTCAGATATCAACTTACTATTGGACATTTTCAAAAATGAAATAGCATTCTTGAAATCAAATTGGAAAATGTTGGGAAGGCCTGTTATCGTCATCAGTCTGAAATCTAAAGTTTTAGGTACTGTTCAATCAAACATGCAATCTATAAGTTTCCCATTGAATTTTTTATCAAACCCTCAGCACGATTGCACCATCCCACACTGCACATTATTGCATGTTATTTTCCCAATGCACGGACTTAAAACAATTATTTCGTTTTATTTTATTCATCTATTCATCTCAATCATTTTTTTCGATTAATTTCGATACCCTTTGATTTAATTTTTATTATTTTTGCACATTTTAATTTTTGCATGATTAGCAACTTGATCGAGACGATTCATACCTTGTTAATGACACTGAATTGAGCTCCTCAATTCTTAGATCGGGCTTACATTTTCTGCGAAGAAATTGGCGAATGCCTGGTAGACCTACTGTCTCTGTTGTGCTTCACCGATCAATTCTAGGTACATGCATGTCTTTTATTTTTTGTTGTTTTTTCACTAAGCGTTCTTATTTGTTAAAGTTTTTTTATATCATTTCAATTTCTTGATCAATGTTATGTCAATTTCATTATTTGTTCAGAAATTTAATCCTTTTTTTACTTGATACTTAGAAAATGGACGAATCCCTCCTTCAGTATTGTCAACGATTAAAAAACTCAAAAGTGGATACATCAATGGTACAAGGTTTGTATTATCATTTATCTCTTTATTTTAATGCCTATAATATTTCTGTTATTTAATTTTACTTTGACGTTCCTCAATTCCCAGGGTTGTATTTGGGAGATTAGATGAATTTCTAAGCACTTCATGCATAACAAGTCTCAGTTTTCTGGGTAATACAGAAGAAGGAGATCCAGATAATTTAAGTTCGAGCGTCAAAGAATATTTGGAGAAGGAGCTCCGTAAACCATTTTTGAAAACGCCTCACAACCTTAAATCGTCAATGAAACGTAAACAAAGTGTTTTCCGATCTAGAAAATCTGGAATTGCTGGTATCATCAAGCGAACCCGATCAATTATAGTTGATCAATATGATCCAGGTAATTTTGATTTATCTGTAATGTTTGTTAAGTGAAATATCGAAAACAACATCTAAAATTGCAATTACATTATTTCAGAATTGACGCTTCTTCGAGCCGAGTATGATGGTAAACATCCTGCTACTGACGAAGTAGATAAATCTCCTTTGGTGTCAACAACACCTAGTCGTGACAATAGTGAGGAAAAATCTTCGCCTGTTTCTCCGGGCGTACCTGAGATTGAAGACGAAACTATAAGTAATTGGGCTTATGTTCCTGGCAATGAATCTAGAATCAAAGCTATGACCGAATTAAATACCAGTGGAGAAGATTTGATTAATTTCTTCAAGGAAACAGAATCACTTGAAGAACAGGGAGACATTCTTCATTATTTAGCTTACAATAAAGGTTTAAATTGGGATACAAAGCTTGGAAATCATCCTAATGTTGTCTCAGTCAAAGAATTGTTGAAAGAGCTTTATGAAAAAGCGTGCCAAGAAAAGAAATGGGCTTTAGTGCGACATATTGCTGGTATATTAGGTAAACGAGTTGAAGATTTGGCCAAGGCTGTTGCTGATTTATTGGTTCGTCAGAAACAAGTTACCATTGGAATGCCACCCAATCATGAGATAACAATAACTCGACCTCTTCCTTCTAAAGAAATACGTGAAATGATTAATGCTGCTCATGGGGGTGATCAAAGTACTGCCATGTTATCTCAAGAACTTCTCGTTTATTTAGCAATGTATATAAGAACGGAGCCACAACTTTTCTGTGAAATGTTGCGACTTCGAGTTGGTTTAATAATCCAAGTTAGTGCCTCTGAGCTTGGAAGAGCTCTAAAATGTAGCGGTGAAGAAGCATCGGATCATTTACTTAATTTAAGTCCCTACGAGATGAAAATGTTGTTGCACCATATTCTCAGTGGGAAGGAATTTTCAGTCAAAGGAGGTTTGTTTCCTAATTAGTTAATTAAGTTTATTACATTTGTTTTTTTAAATCTTATACTAATCCAACTTTTTGTTTTCATTTTGATTTATAGCAAGGAGTGGTCATGTATCCATTGCGAATGACAAATTCAGTCGTAAAAGTAATTTAGACAATTTTATCGGTAAAGAACCTAGCATCACAGATGAATTTACCGAATCAGAACGACAAGGTCAATGGCTAAGAAGACGAAGATTGGATGGAGCCTTGAACAGAGTTCCTAAAGGCTTTTATCCAAATGTTTGGTCACTTCTTGAGAAGGTAGTATTGACTATTGATGGCTTTTAATAATCTCATCAATTTCAATGTTTATTTATTTTTCTTTATTTATAGTGTGAAGGAATTGTTATACAAGATAAAGTTCTTCTACAGAAATTGACTCGTGAAATGACTCCAGGAGAATTGAAATTTGCACTGAATGTCGAGGAGGTTCTCAACAGCATCCCTGTACCAGAATATAGACAACTCATGGTTGAAGCATTGATGATACTCACCTTACTGGTTGAATTGAATGCTGTTGGATATTTAGGTGGCTTTATCAAAGTTCAAGATATTGTCCATCAAGCTCATCAACTATTCTTAGATGACCAGGTTAGAATTATTAAATCTTTATTTTTTATCGAAAAATTTAATAATTGTTTCTTTCCTTCCTTTCAACAGAGAAAACAAAATGGTGATGCCACTCTTTGTTGTGCCCTCCTTCCAGATTCACCAAAATTAGTTAATTGTTCAACGACTGCAAATATTTGTCAACATTTTTACGATTCTGCACCCAGTGGATGTTATGGTACAATGACTTACCTTGTACGAGCTGTTTCTTGTTTATTGGATTGTCTACCAAACCAGGAAATCGATTGTACTCTAAGTTAAATTGTATATCACTTTGACAATCTTTTTGTTCAAATTCAACTATTTGGTTCCTAAGCATTTCATTTATTTTGTTTAAAATCACCATTCTTTATTTGCAATCTTGCCGAAATTCATCATTAGTCTTAAAATATTCGTCTATTATCAACACATCAAGTTTCCTTTTACTTGTAAATCACGGATCTGAATTATATTATTGTTTAGTAAATTTAAACCCATTTATTTGAGTATGAATATTGTAAAGATCGTCGAAAGAAGTTGGAAAATTTCAACCTGTTTTGGGTATTTAATTGTTGAAATTTGCATAATCTAAGTGCTTCTTTTATGGCAGTTTGATGAGCAATTTCAATCAACACTCAAGAAAAGGTTAATCAGTTTAATGCGAATTGTAAATTTTAAATGAAGTTTTTTTGTTTTCGTTTCAAAACTTCAAATATCTTATTGAAGAAAAATGAACTTCGAATTTGAATGATTTATCAAAATCAATTATTTTATCCAAATTAAATGATCTTGCTATTGGATTAATAAAACATAAAATTGTAATTTCTTTGTCATTTTTGCCATTTTCATCTGAGAGTTGCCCGAAAAATATAGGGCTTTTGAATTATATAATATAATGTCTTTAAATTCGAGACTATATCCTGATCTGGCGTGCTACACAATAATAGAGACTGGTAAGAAAAATTAAATAAGACTCAAGATGAAACTCAAAAACTTCTTTTGATTAGTGTTTCTGCGTTTGAATCAAACCTACAGTTGAAAAGATATTTTCGCAACGATTTCTATCGATATTTTTCTGGATTAAATCTGTTGTAGTTATCTACTTTTGGAAATGTCTGTTTGGATTTTCGGAATTTTCTTGCAATTTTGCAAAAATTAAATCTTTGACATGACAAATGATCAATATTACTATCGCTGTCATTGAAAGCTATTGAAATCTCTCGATTTTGCAGATTTTTATGATATTTCAATGACACTCTAATCAACAATCTATTATAAATCGTTTTTTTGTCTCATATTTTAAGTTGTTTTATTATTCAAAGCATTTCATCTTTGCAAATTCAAATTTTACATTTTTATTGTTATCTAATTAAAATGTAACTCTAGTTATTTGTTGACAATGTAAATTGAAGAAAAAGGAACGAAATTTCATGGCGAAAAATTGTATTTGCACTAAAAAAGCAATGAAGATTTTATATTTTCGATTGGCGGAACCAGAAAATATGGCGAAATGAGTCACTTTCTGGGAAAACTGTCTGAATCGTATTCGAACTTAATCTGTCCATGTTTCAGGTCCCGCTTCGAAATAAAACATTGTTTTGATACATAATAAGTATAGTTAATGAAGAGGGCTTACTTCTAGAACATAAACAACCTGAAAATTCTCGAGGCACGCTGCTAATCTTGATTCAATTTCATGGATACATTAACACTTGAATCTCAACTCATTTTGATCACCTGGGCAAATGGCCTCGTGAGGCTCAAGATACTTCCACATAAAATTCAATGAAATGCAACACGAGCTAATTTTTAACTACTTTCAATTTACAAGCTGATATGAGTTGATGAGGTGACGTGTAGATGTTACTTCATCGTGCACATTATTTTAGTCAAAATCCTTGAATTTACAGTGTTTATCAATAAAACTTGAGATTTTACTGCATTGCACGAGTGAATTTTTACTATTATATATCATGATATTTATTCAGATGTGAACGGATGACTGAAAAAAGTAACTGAGCAAGTTAAACCAGAGTATAAAAATGGTTGAATTTAAAGGAAAGATATCAGTAACAATTTGAATCTCTAAATACTTTCTAACTAAAGGTTTTGTGTTCACTTGTAACTACTCTTAAATAATTTAAAATGATACTAATTAAAATGCAATATTTCCTTTTTATCAGTGCTCTCGTTTCTCTCGCCGGATCTGGATCAGCATCTGACCTCTTGGGTAACACTGGTACAAATGCAGGTAAGGAGTTTAACTGTGTGGACTATCATTTCGAAGAAGTTTTTGCGAGCTAAAGTTGGAATAGTTTGTGTTTTTTTAATCAATAATTTAAAATTTAGAAAGGTCAGCATGTAACTAACAAAATATTATTTCGTTCCATAGATGTAAAACTTCCTGCAGGTATAGAAATTTCTGCTGAATTGGGTCCAAAATATCCACCCCCTGCTGGTAGAACGAATAAATGATACAACAGGACGATTGAGATAGAGCCATACAAAGTACTAGAGTAAATGGTAGCAATCTAATTTATCCCAATTCGTCAATGGTCATTCGTCAATATCAATGTAAACCCTGATTCCTTATAACTTATAGCGTTATAACTTTACTAGCTCGAAAAATAAACTGCCACCATTTACTATTCAATTTTGATCATTTCATGCTACGATTTAATGCAATTCCTTTATTTTATTGATCATCAAATGTTACCCTTGAATGTCAAAAGTTATCGATTCCATCATATTTATTTATGATAAAATAAATTTTTGTCGATGAGAAGAGGCAAGAGAAAAACTCTGTAAACAAATGGTGAGGTGAATTGCGTGAAATAGAGTTAATTACTAAGGAGTAGGAAATCAAAAAGTCCAATGTACGAGAAATTGAGCCCAACAGGAAACAGTATTATCCGAACTGGAACACTCATGAAACTTTTTGTCGATGAATCACTTAAAACAACTTATAGACTTATTACGGCCACAATTTCAAATGAATCAAGCAAGTGTAAAAAACTAGTGTACGAAAAATTTTGTCCAGCATGCAGGTGATGCATAAGATGAATGTGAGTGTCTAATAAGTTTATGAGTTTAAGTATAGCTTCAATTTGTTGGCTGAAATAGACCAGTTAGTTCATTATAAACAAGATCTAACTAACCATTCATTAATAATATGTCACTACCTCAGCATAAGACATGATTACCAAGATTTTTCAAAATTTAACTTTTCACCACTAAAGTTGAATTCTGAGACATCATGTCCATGATCAAAATTACTCATGATGGAATTATGATTAATGTTTTGTCACTAAGAGCTTAAATTATGATATTCACAATCGAAATACGATAAGGAATATAACATTGGTAACATCACAATAACGAAGGTAAAGGATGAAAGGCAAAATGTAAACAAGACAATGCGTTTTTGGTTTTTGTTTTTCATGTTTTCTTGGTTTTTTTGTTTTCTTGTTTTGGTGATTTTTAACGTATGTAAAGTAAAAATGGAAATGATTTTTGAATTGGATCTTAAGATGCACTAATTGGATTAGCTCAAAATTTTCAACATATGTTCTTTAGGGTATTCAAAGTATAAATATGAAAAATCAGGGCAATATCTGCACCAGAACTCAAGATGTTGAAGTTGAAGCAAAATGAAGTTTTATGAAAACAAAAAAATACTCTTTTGGCCTGATCTAGCGAGCTGTCACTACGCTCGAACATCGCTCGAAACGCTAGAGGGCGCCAGTGTCAACTATGTAAAAAAGGATGATAACACACGTAGTTGTCCACAATTAAGGTTCATTGAAGATTTTTGGGCAAATCTTAAATGCAAAGTCTATTCAGATGGTTGGTTGCCGAAATGCAAAAAGGATTTAATTAATAGGATCAGAAATTTTCTTAGAAAATACGATCCAATTTACTTCACTAATTTATCAATTGAAAATGTTAAATCCAAAGTGATTAAAGCTGGCCGTGAGGGATCAAATACCTTAATCCACTAGCTTTCATTGCTCTCTCAAAGTGTTGAAAAAATTAAAGATTTGTGATGCTTATTTCCTGAATTATAAGAGTTTGAAAATCATTTCCATTTTTACATTACATACGTTAGGTAAATATTAGTGAGTAATTGAAATGAATAACGAGGATACTTACCGAGTCAGGGTTGTCACACTTTATCTCCTCAACTTTCGGCTATTTTTCACTGATACTGATAGGGTGCGAATAGTCAACCAGGAATTGGAATCAGAAGGCTTATCAACGATGTCTATTCATGGAGTGGTGCATTTGACTGATAAATATCAAACAACAGACACAATTAAACGAAGGATAATAGATAATAGATAAAGGATAATCAAAGGTTGAAAGGGTTATAAAATTATGGAACTTGTAACTGTTGATCCTAAAGTGTCTCTAAGAAAAGCTGCAGCTATTGTTGAGTGTAACTATCGATCAGTTCATCATGTTTTCAAGAAAAATCATCTTTTTCCATACAGACCGATTGAAGGTCAATTGTTAACTGACAATCACATTCTTGGAAGGTTCAGCGGATACATGGGACTTAAGCCATTTAAAAATGAGCCAAATAAAAAATAGCCAACTAAATTTAAGACACTTAGAGAATCGCCAATTCCAAGTAGATTAACAAGATTCAAAAGCAAACGAATTTACTTTTCATGCATTTCATTTCAACGTCTTGAACCTTTTTCTAAGATTGCTATCAGTGAATCAATAAAGTATCTAGAAATGAATTATCAATCAACTGTTTCAAACAAAGGTAAACCTTTGATCAACTATCAGAATTACTTATTTAGACAGAAATCTCGTGTTGGCCTAACTAGTTATTGGTGTCGTACAATTTCTGAATGCTCAAGTAGAGCCAAATTATTTAATGGTACTTTTACAATTACTCGTGACCATAACCATGAACCTAATTTTGGTGACTTGATTCAACGTGAGCAACGCAAAGCTATTGAAGCTGCATTAAAAAACGATCCAACTAAATCAGGCTCGGAGATTTATGAAAGTGCAACGGCTTCTGTTTTAGCTAATTATGAGGCTGAAAAAGAACTTCTTGGTGCGTCTTTGAAGCCGTATGTTGATGTTCAGCTTGTTATTTCATATAACAAACTCAAAGAATTGCCACCTTTACCTTCATGCCGAGAAGCAATTAATATTGAGGAATCAATTGCTAGACTGGAAGATGGACGGAAATTTTTACTGGTCGAAAGGGGAAGTGATGACAAAATCGTCATTTTTGCTGCTGAAAACTTTTTAGAATATCTATTTCGAGCTGAAAATGTTTACATGGACGGAACATTTCAGGCAGTACCGAAACTTTTCTACCAACTTTATACTCTTCATGTTATGATAGAGGAAATTATGGTTCCTATTGTTTACGCGCTATTGCCAAATAAACAGAGAGAAACATACTTGCGGCGCTTTCGACATTTACAAGATGCAGCTTATGAACGAAATGCTATTTTTTGTCCCAAAAATTTTATCATTGACTTTGAAATGGGAGTTATTCTGCTATCAAAAGTTTGTTCGTAACGGCAAGCATAAAGTGCTGTCGTTTTCACTTTACTTAGTGTATTAGGAGGAAAACTCGCTTGGACTCAAAACTGATTATAACATATTGACGAACGTAACAAAGACTGTGAAAAGGCTAATGGGTCTGTCTCTTGTAAATCCGACCATATCGATACACTGTTCGAATGGATTGTTGCGGACTGTGACGATGACCCACGATTAGATGCGTTATTTGAATATTTCTTCGATAGTTTTTATAAAGAAGAAGCTCGATTTCCTCGACAACTATGGAATTGTTTCGACTTTCAAAGACCAAGAACTACGAACCATTTAGAAGGATGGCATAATAAATTAGCGCTTGATATCGAAATAAGTCACCCTAATTTATGGATTTTTATTGCGAATATCAAGAAACAGCAAAAATCTTTCGAAACAAAAGTTTTTTTACAAAGTTCTGGTGCATCAATTATTCGCAGACGATACAAGAGAGTTCAACAAATTAATCAATTCGAAAAGTTGAACGAAAAATACAAAAACGAAGAAATAACACCTAACGAATTCTTAGATAAGGTCAAATATTTGAAATTTGTGTAACTTTTTAGTACTTCGAGATATTGAAAAATAAATGTGCGCATTAGTACGAATTTTTTCGCCCTCTTTTCGATTAAATTACTTTCAATCAACTTTGACTAACTTTTTTTGCCAATTTTGTCCCATTGAAATAGCATGTAAATTTTTTCGACTCTAGTGCCATCTACTAAAACTGAGTTTGTAATTGGCGCATTTTTAGTTGGCCGTTTTTTCTTTGGCTGTTTTTTGTGTGTGCCGGTTCAGCTTCGGTGTTCGAGTGAAGAAGCTGATTAGAATCGGAATCCGCAATCTTTCTAAAATCGGGTTCAGCGATGAAAAAATCTTCGCATTAACAGGAAGGGTAAACAGACAAAACAACCCAATTTGGTCAATCAACAAACCAGAACGAGAAATCAACCCATTGTTAGCACATTCTGTTTAAGTTTATGTTTGGCCAGCTTTAAGTTCTGTCGGTATTATTGGTCCATATTTTTTTAGTCGAAAGGTTAACGCCGCAGTTTACCAAGAATGCTTTGAAGATTTTTTTATTCCTCGACTGAACAAAAAAGGATTTCGGTGTTTCGAGTTTTGGTTCCAGCAAGCAACTCGAAAGTCAGATTTTTTACACATACTCCTTTATAACAAAAAGTACAAACAATTAATACATATCTTTTTATTTTTCAGCAAAGTGTTTAGTATCGAGTGGATTTTCCCATAGAATGTAATGAAGGTAGCATTATTGATGGATAAAAATATGGGATGGTGATGCAAAATATTATGAGAAAATTGAGTATATTTGTATTCAAGGGGATGAGATTAAGATCACAGAAAGAGACAAAGATGTGCCTACTGTAAGTGAGCTATTGAAACAAGCTGTAACAAACGAAAAAAGGATTAAATTATAAATGGGGTTGCCCATATTGTAACCAAACTATAAGGCAAAGAAAAGATGTTACGGAACGGGATTTCAAAGGACAAAAAGACAAAGACTCTGTGTGTTCTGAAAGAATGAAAATTGCCTACAAAAGCAAATCGTAAACCTTACAAAGTTATTTTTGAAATTGATTTTTCAACCATGTTGCATTAAATTATTCTTTGAGAAATATTGATTGGCAATCACCACAAATAAAATATACTTCATTGCGTTTATTTACGCAGTCTTTGTGGAAATAAAGTCTAAATTTCACACACACGTACATCGGTCTTTTTCATTTTAAAATTGCAAATTATACAACCGCGAAAGAAAAGTTTGACATAGTTACCACTAACTTCACGCATATACAATCGTATCCAAGCACAATCAGCAAATCAATCTCAAACAATATCGCTGTTGTACACAGAATGAATTTTACATAAATCTTTTTGCCTTTCTCTCAATGAATTATTCATCGGCGCCATCGGTTTTCTTTTAGGCTCATATGATTCGGTTGAATTTTCACTTTATTTTGGACAAGATCAGTTTGTTTATTGGGAAAATGGTTCTCAGCCATTTTGGCAATAGTATAGAATTGTTCATAGATTTTCACGGCATGACCCAGTAAACAACGTTTGTATTGGTCAGTCAAATTTTCTATCATAACTGCTGTTTGCTTCGTTAAACCAGCTAATCCAGTCAATCTCTTTTTTTCAAAATATTCATCAACATTGACACTCTGCTAAAATTTCAACCGAACAAATTCAACCATAGGTTCAATGGATTTCAAACCAAACCTGTCAATACAGATCACTTCAATTTTCAGTTAAATTGACCGCTTTCTGTAAACGCTTGAGTTAGAGATCTGAAACTCATTTTTTACGGCAAAACTCATGGGTGAACATGTTGAGTCAGCCAATTTTTTCAAATATAAGAAATCGTAGTGATCTGTTTTTGATCTGAACAGAGAATTTTTCATTGAAAATAACTGCATTTTCTGGTTAATCAGCAAAAGTTACACCAGTATAATCAGCTTCATAAAAAAATCTGGTTTTATTATTGAAATAAAGGCGATCGAAGCTTCAACTTTGACCTCAATTTTATCGAAAACTGGTGACTCAAACAAATTTTCAATAGCACTGATAGACTCAGTTTTTATACCCCTAAAAACTCACAAAGTCGCAACTCTTAACGGTGAAATCGAAGTTTTTGGACATTGTCCTTTATAATAAACTTTAATAATCAGTATTTACACATTTCGTTAGATTCATTAACAACATTTTTTTTCTTGGAGCCTTTAAAAACCTTTCGACAATATAATGGTAACAAAAAGCTCAGCATAACATAGATAATTCCCATGACTCCGAGATAATAAGTAAATACTACTGGATTGGTTTCAATAACTTTTGACAAAACTGTCGTGTGAATTGTTTCACCAATCACTCCGTTGACAAAAATAAACGAAGTCATTGCATTTGTAACAGGAAAATAATGTCCTAGTGATCCATATGAAATTGAAAATACTGGTGAATAACCTATTCCCAGTAAAGTGAAGCTGATCCACGTAAAAAGCTCTTTCGATGCTGCATAAGGAACCAGAGTAACCACACCTGCCACAATGATTAGCAGATTCATATAAAAAAGTTTACTCTCTTTTATAACCAGAGTTAACGGGATAAAAATGCATCTATAAAATGAAAACATTGTCCAAAATACGGTTGCCACAAGAACAGCATTTTGTTTATCCATATGTACATCAGCTTTAACAGCAAAGGCAGTACACAAGTTACCTAAAGAAATGAAATGGTCAACCATTGACTTCAACTGCTAACTTGTTTTATGTTTTAAATGATGAAGTTTAAAGACTTACCAACAACTGCTTCAGTTCCAAAAGCGAAATTTGCCAAGGCAGCTGTAATAGTAACTGCGAGAACCTTTTTAAGCCTACTTGTTTGGACAAATCGCGAGTTCTCTCCTCCAGTTTCTTCAACTTTGAATTTTTGTTTTCTATCATAGAGGTAGCAAAAAAAGTAGGGAACTGCTACAACAACAAGAACCATTCCAACAACCATGAAAGCATATTGAACTTTTACATCTTCTGGTGTATAAGTAATTGTGGTGGTTTTATTGATTGCATTGATGATGGCTGTTGCATTCGTCAGGTCTATTGTTTCTGGTGAAGTTATTGAGACACCTTGGTCAGTATTCAACCCATCTGATTCGGTACTGGGAAGTAGGAAAGGTCGAGTGATGATTGGTACAATTAAAGCCCCAACTCCATAAAACATGTGCAACACTTGTAACCAGTTGACTCCATTTTTACCCCAGATTCGGAGTATAATCACATTACAGTCTATAAATGATAAAAAGATGAGAGAAGTTGAATTATCACAATTTTGCTTTAGAAGTATTTACATATATCAAAGACTCCGAGAGCAAAGCCAGCAATAAAGATGAAAACCAAAACAGTTTCCAAAGATCGGAACCATGGAGCCAGAGCAAGAAAAACTCCTGCGACGAGATTGGATGCCGAAAGTACCAAAGAGTCATCAAAGTATTTTTCAAAAAAACCAGCTGTTGAAAAAAAAGAACAGTGATTTTGAATTATTGTGTCAATAATCACAAGAGCAACAAAAAATAACTTGGCATTCAATCTAATCTTGAAATATCTTACCAACTGTGGCTCCAACAACATAACCTACTGAACGAGTCTGGACAAGTCGAGATGTGGCTTCAAATGATCTCTGAACATAAATTTGAATATCGAGTAGTGAACTTCCAATCAAAGTATTAGTACCACCAAGACCAGCGAACGTAAGATAAGTTAAGATAGTTTTGAATATCTTGTACTTATTAACTCGTAAATATTCACACAAGCTCATCTTTCAACTTGTGATCGACGATTTGATCTGGTTACTGAAATCTCATCAACTCAGCAAGATAAATCTTCAATTATCAAATAACTTAACCATATAAGCGGAGATATTACTCTTTTCAACAGATTCACTTGAGAAACTGAAATTAATGAAGCTTGTTTTCATGAATATATTACATGTATAATTATGCTATGATACAAATACATTTTAAAAAGCCAAAAGACGCAAGCAAAAGATCATAGTTATAACTATTATAAAAATTATATCAAGCTTATCTTATCAGACAATTATCAATGCAATACAGACAAGAATATAAAGAAAAAAGATTCAACGATTTTCTGTATTTTTAATCAGTTGTACCTTTGCCTGGTTAAAACAAATAAACATTCGATTTCAAGTCAATCAACTGATTTTTCATTTCCCATTATCAGTAAACCATAATTGTTTGAATCTTTATGTGATCATTGAAATGTTATCCGGTATTGCAATTTGGCTTTACATTAATTAAGTGCTTATTAATTCGATTTACGATGGAATTTATTTTGTGGTTAATACAATAAATATTATCATTTGGGGCATCTTCAATGCGGCAGATAGCGTTATCTTTGATTAGTCTTGCGTTTTAAATTTGGGTGCAAGCAGGTGATAATCTTTATTGTATTAACCACCAGCATTGCATTGTAAACTGGATTCCAAGTTAGCTGTTAAAAGGGGGTCAGGTCACTTGAGCGAAAGACATTTTAGCGAAATTAGTATTCCAATGATCCTGTTTAAAATTCTTTCAAAGACAATTTTTCACTAAAACGGTTGGTACTAAAAGTACACAATTTATCAAAAAATACACATAAATACACAACAGTGTAAAAGACAATTGTCAAATCGGCGTAAGATTCAGAATGAAATGAACCGCATATCAATCGAAAGCTTATGTTGAGTAGTGTATTCCTCTTGGATCAAAATTTGAATCTTCTAGGGAATTATTCGACAATGACTTTTTGCGTTATTGAACTTTTAATATTTTTTTCATGTGAATAAATGTTCAAAGCCCTTATTTACCCTACACAACAGACCTAGAACATATTGTTGGGCGACTTGAATAGTGTCATGAAAGGTACCTAAGAATCTTCTCCATCAAATTTTGAATTCATATTTTCTTTTAGATAAATACTTCATTATTTTATTGCAATGTTCAACAAAATCATTTTAATTACGAAAAAATCGGTTCTTTTTATGCACTTTGAGATAGATCAATTATTTTCTTAATTGATTCCTCGATTGTCGGAATATTAGGATCTCACTCTTTTTGATAAGGTAAGAACTCATCATAACTGCCATCATTCCCTATATCCGTACCATTTAAGAGATCATGTTAACTTTTTTCACCCTTCATGGTGATTATATGATGTTTTGACACATTCAACGTTTTTGTATAAACATTGCCTTTTCTAAAAACAAGAAAATAAAAAATTTGCTAATTGATTTGCTTTTTTAGCTAAGAAAAGTGACGATGAAATGAATGTTTGAACGAATAAGTCTTTTCAATTTTTTATCCGAAAATTCGTTAGTTTCACAAGCTTTTCGATGATAATTTCTAGCATGTCCTTGAATCTTCAATTTTTTTCAATATTAAATGAGTGAAGAAAGAGGAAGAGTAAGATTGAGAAGTTGAATGGAGGTAAAACACCAATTTTTTATCAAAATTTATGATAATGATGAGAAGAAGTATCCTAGATTTAATGATCAATGTAACGACGATGGAGAGAAACTAACACAATAATCTAATGGACAATCTAATAGTTGCTGGATGCTGGATCTAGTTGATGATGTTAGCAAGGTAAATGAAACTGAATTGAAACAAATCGATGATTTTAACTGTTTTTGCTTAGTGTTTGCATGAAAAGTTGATTTGATCAGATCAACTTGTCTTTTCATAGTCAACCATCGACACTTGAATTTAACTGGATCTAGTGACATGATTCGTTTACGGGACAACCTTTTGCGTTCAGCACATCTAGCATCGGACGTTTCAATTGGATTTTTTTGTAAATAATTTGAAAGCCATTTGAGATTGCCGCCACAAACAAAAGGGTTGCCTCCCAAGTGAAGTGTCACGATGTTTTTAAAATAATCAAAGGTGCCATTGGCAAGAGATTGGATCTTATTGTCATAAAGTGAAAGTAAACTGAGGTTATGAAGTCCTGAGAAAAGGTCTTTACGTATGCATGAGATATTGTTGTCATTGAGCAGAAGAAGCTGAAGAGATGATAATCCATACAATACGTTTCTAGATAAATTATTTAATCGATTACCATACAAAACCCTGAAAAATATAGAAACAAAACAGATTAGAATAAAATTGAGAAAAGTGAGGCAGGCCAAAGCTGCCTAGAAAGGAATTTTTTTGTTATGAACACACATGATACACAATTTTATACTGAATTCATTCATTCTTTCTATTTCATTCAATCTATGTTTCGTTTTCGAGATATCATTAAAAAACGGTAGAAATGCATGGAAAAGTTGCACAATTATGCAAGATGAAAGAACTTTCTAGATAGATTTTAGATGTCAAATTCAATTCTGATTACCATGAAGTGATTTATTTTGATCCATCAGGACGGAAAACTGGCCAATTTCAAATAAATGTGCTATTGCCCCTTTAAAGCTTAGGATAGTGATTACATAATTTACATTGTTGACAATTCTTGTTGGAAAGTCTGCGTTTTCCGATTTCAAGGCTATGATATTAAAATACAGAGTTAATGATAATGAATTTGAATACTTGTGAATACGTGTAATAGATATGGTAATTTACACTGATCTTTGCAAAGCTACCAATAACTTTGAACGTATACATTGTTAAGGTTCGTATTTGTGTAGATGTTAACACAACCAAATTTTTGCTCCTGTAGCTTGTGATTAATAGAAATCTTTGATAAACAATACGTTGTATTATTCATATAAATGCACCATCCGTTTCAAATTAAACCTTTTGCTTCGATTGGGTATGTTTGAACAGTCTGAATTTTTATGCTAGTATCAAAGCATTAAAACTGGACTAGTTTTAAAATATCTCAATTAAAACGTTTTCAATTTTAATTTAAAAAATATAAATTGCTCAAAAACAGTCACAAACATGATACTAGAAAACAGGAACTCGTGGATCAAAGCGTGTGATGGCCACATTATAATAATAGATACAGAAACAAATAGGTGAAATAAGTGTTTATCAAATCATTTTTTACTGACTTTTGTCTTGCTCACAAACTACTCAGTATGTTAATTTCTGCTCAGTAAACAGAGCAGACAGTTCCTCAAATTTGAATCCTATTAACTAGATGTATGGTTGTAAAATCCTTGAAAAATTCAACACTATTTAGTCTGATAAACAAGATCGAAAATAAATTCATACACGTTTACGATTCAATACAGAGGAAATTAAATCTGAGTAAATAATTTAGTCAATTGTTTGGGACAAACACTGAAAAATTTTGCACAGATGAAAAAACAAAATAATCAACTAAATGGTATAAAAAGCCTCGGCGAAACACAAAAGATATCAGTTGAAAAAGTATCAACAAGAAAACAACAAACCATGAATATAAGATTATTAACTTTGTGCCTCGTAGCGATAACAGCGTTTAACGTTGTTGACGCAAACAGCCTATCCAGATGGAATCCTCTGAACATCGCTATGAAAATGCCAATGGAACTTTTTGGTAATCACAAGAAAACTGACTCAGCCACGAAATCATCAACAGGAACCGCCACAACAGCTTCAAAGTCACTGAAAGGCCAAAAACCAACAACCAGTAACTCTAGTTCGCATGAGAAATCACCTAACACAGCATCATCAGGATCAGGTTCAGGATCATCAGCAGCAGCTTCAGGTTCAGGATCATCTGCACCTGCACCAGCATCAAATACTGGATCAGGATCATCATCAGCAGCTTCAAGTTCAGCAGCAGCAGCATCAGCAGCATCAGCTTCAGATTCATCATCAGGACCAACATGAACATCAACATCAACCAGTAACTCACCTAACTCAGCATCATCAGGATCAGGTTCAGGATCATCAGCAGCAGCTTCATCAGGAGCAGCAGCTTCAGGTTCAGGATCATCTAGCTCAGGATCAGGACAAGGATCTGGTTCATCAGGTTCAGGATCATCTGGTTCAGGTTCATCAGGATCAGCAGCTTCAGGATCAGCAGCATCAAGTTCAGCAGCAGCAGCTTCAGACTCATCATCCGCACCTGCACCAGCATCAAATACTGGATCAGGATCATCATCAGCAGCTTCAAGTTCAGCAGCAGCAGCATCAGCAGCATCAGCTTCAGATTCATCATCAGGACCAACAACAACATCAACATCAACCAGTAACTCACCTAACTCAGCATCATCAGGATCAGGTTCAGGATCATCAGCAGCAGCTTCATCAGGAGCAGCAGCTTCAGGTTCAGGATCATCTGGCTCAGGATCAGGACAAGGATCTGGTTCATCAGGTTCAGGATCATCTGGTCCAGGTTCATCAGGATCAGCAGCTTCAGGATCAGCAGCATCAAGTTCAGCAGCAGCAGCTTCAGACTCATCATCTGCACCTGCACCAGCATCAAATACTGGATCAGGATCATCATCAGCAGCTTCAAGTTCAGCATCAGCAGCATCAGCAGCATCAGCTTCAGATTCATCATCAGGACCAACAACAACATCAACATCAACCAGTAACTCACCTAACTCAGCATCATCAGGATCAGGTTCAGGATCATCTGGTTCAGGTTCATCAGGATCAGCAGCTTCAGGATCAGCAGCATCAAGTTCAGCAGCAGCAGCTTCAGACTCATCATCTGCACCTGCACCAGCATCAAATACTGGATCAGGATCATCATCAGCAGCTTCAAGTTCAGCAGCAGCAGCATCAGCAGCATCAGCTTCAGATTCATCATCAGGACCAACAACAACATCAACATCAACCAGTAACTCACCTAACTCAGCATCATCAGGATCAGGTTCAGGATCATCAGCAGCAGCTTCATCAGGAGCAGCAGCTTCAGGTTCAGGATCATCTGGCTCAGGATCAGGACAAGGATCTGGTTCATCAGGTTCAGGATCATCTGGTTCAGGTTCATCAGGATCAGCAGCTTCAGGATCAGCAGCATCAAGTTCAGCAGCAGCAGCTTCAGACTCATCATCTGC